GCCTCTGGCACCCGTGCCATAGGTTCGCCACCACTGCCTTAGAAGAATGATAAATTGAGTTATGGGAATATGTATCAATATCAAAAATTACTTCATATTTTTTAAAAATAAATCTTATAGAATTTGACTCAAGTGGATATCATTTTTGGATTATAATTTTGCCAAAGGATTCATACCACATCCATAGTCTCCCCCTTTCTCCGCTTTGCTAAATTTGCTATATTTTTCCTTATATAATTTTTTTGAAGATTTTTACATGAATAAAAGATAAACGATTGGATGTAACTTCTTAATTAAAGAATACAGCAAGAACATACATAAAAGAAAGTTTTTAAAAAGATGAAAACAAAAAGATGAGAAGCAGTATAATAAAGAGAAGATAATTAAAGATGTTACATCCAATCTTTATAGCAGTTACAAACCAATTTGTTATCCTTCCTCCCTAAGATTATATCACATAGTTGCCATCTATTCCATCTTGTTTCTTAGTTTATAATTTATACACTGAATCATACTTGCTAAAGCTGTCAGTTACTGCACAATAATCCAAATATTACAATTTCTTTAACTCTGATTTCAACTTTCTAGATTTCTATCAATGTCATTTCAATTTTTTCCTGTCAGTGTTCCTTGGTTTTTTTTTTCTGATTATAGGTAAATTTAATAGGGAATGATTTAAAAACAAAATCATCAGTCTGAACCCAAGGTCTCCAGCCATCTAAAAATCTAGTTTTCTGGGGACCCCTTCTCTTATTATATCTACCTCTGCCCATTGCTATAACTGAACACCCCCCTGAAACCTGAATATAACAAGCCCTTGTAAGCATTTAAAGAAAAAAAAGAGAAAGAGTTTGAAGGCACATAAGCATGATTGGTAAATAAGAAAGTGGCGATTTTATAGGGATCTTTTTTTTATGGATGCCAGTTTGAAATGCACACTGCTGGAAATAGTTTTCCTTGAAGGAGAGAGAGAGAGAAAAACCCAGCTGAAGGCCTAAGACTGGGGTGATGGCGCACGTGCCCACAGAGAGGGCTCTGAGTGCCGCCTCTGGCACCTGTGCCATAGGTTCGCCACCATGATATAGGCAAAGCTTCACTGTATCACTTCTTTCTCATTAGCTGGCTGGCAAAAGTAGGCTTACCGTGAATGTGGTAGTTTATTAGGGCTAAAATGGCATAGACATTGTTGAATTCTGTAGTAGACAATCTTGATTTTCTATCCACTTTATTTCCTTCTCTTTTACTTGGATGACTAATTAGGTAAGACTTCAGAAGTGCCCCTGAGGTTTAACAGAGGTTCCCAGAATGTATTGGTTCATTACTAGTATCTAATAATTTTTTCACAGCACCCCTTGACTAGTATCATTCTATTTCCTATGAAACTATTTAAAATTCCCACAGTGCTCCTGAGATTTTACTCCAGCACTCCAGGGCTAACTATGAGGTTATAGTACTCCTTCCTGCATGGTTGATGGGATGAACCCTCACCACCACCACCACCCCAAAAAAAAACTGCCTTAGAAGAATGATAAATTGAGTTATGGGAATATGTATCAATATCAAAAATTACTTCATATTTTTTAAAAATAAATCTTATAGAATTTGACTCAAGTGGATATCATGTTTGGATTACAATTTTGCCAAAGGATTCATACCACATCCACAGTCTCCCCCTTTCTCCGCTTTGCTAAATTTGCTATATTTTTCCTTATATAATTTTTTTGGGAAGATTTTTACACGAATAAAAGATAAAAGAAAGTGGCGATTTTATAGGGATCTTTTTTTATGGATGCCAGTTTGAAAGGCACACTGCTGGAAATAGTTTTCCTTGAAGGAGAGAGAGAGAGAGAAAACCACTTGTTGAAAAACCGGATGATTTTTTCCCCCCTTTCTCTTTATCTGTTTTCTTTTTGGACAGCCTTTTTTTTTTTTGGGACACCTTCAAAAATGGAACTGCCGGTCCTATTCTGGAAACTGCCAAGGCCCCTAATTACTGTTCCGAAGCCTCCCGATCCTCCTGTCTGCCCCAATTACCCAAGTGACGTCCGCAAGACACGCCCCCCTCCTCTCTCCGAAATTCAACAGGAGCCTGCCCCGCCTTCTGCCCACTTAGGTCCCCAGCGAAGGTCCTCAAGCACCTGAACATTTTCCTTCCCCCCCCCCCGCCCCGTTTGCTTTAACTCTTCCGCCCGAGAAAGAAGCGGCGTTAATTGCTGTTTCTGTAAATGGAAGTGACTCATCTAAGGACGGCTGGGCGGGAGGCAAAGGTGGACAGGAGAAAGAAGCCGGGTCTGGGTGGGTAGGTGGGTGGGAATGGAAAAGCGAGGCCGTGTCGACGGGGAAGATGGCCACAACGGTCCAAAGGTCTGAAAGAGGAAGGCTCCCCCCTCAATCTCGGCTCGGCCTCCCCCAGTAAAGGCGGCGACCCCCCCCCAACTACACACACACACACACACACACACACACTTCGCCCTTCCCGCGCTTCTTTTCCCGCTCCTCTCAGGAAGTCCTGCCGAAGCTGCTTGCAACAACAATGAGCCTTCAAAGGAAGCGGGAGCGGGCTCGGCGTTGGGGACATCCTTCGGCAATAAGCCGGCGGCGCCGGGGCTCCGCAAACATTGAGCTGTCACCTCTCCGCCGCCCATCTCCGGTGGGTTGGGCCGGTTCTGGCGAAGGGGGAGGGCGGCGGGGGCGGACTGGCGGGGGCAGCGAGCGTAAGAGTCCCGCGGGGGCAGCGGAGGAGAGCGAGGGGGGGAACCGCCGGCAACAAACTGAGAAGAAGGGTGGGCGAGGGCGTCCAGCAAGCCGGTCTGAACAATAGAGAGGAGGGAAAGGAGGGGGGGGGGAGCGGCGCAGGAGGCGGCTGCCGCTACCGCTGAAGGAGAGAGAGAGAGAGGCAGAGAGGGTTGCGGTGGGTGTGTACGATCTGGGCGTGTGCGTGTGTGTGTGCGCACGCCTTTTGAGAAAGAGGTGGAGAGGACCCCCTGCCACCCCAACCGGGTTGGCAGCAGCGGCAGCTCCCAGCAGACACTGTGGCAAAGGATGGGAAGTGCCGAAGCGGGCTGCTGAAGACGCCTCCGTCCCTCTTCCCCTCCTTCCTCGGGGGGCGCGCGCGCGCGCTCGGGCGCGTGGCTCCTCTCTCTCTCCCTCCCTCTCTCTTTCCTCTCTGCCTCCACTCACTGGATATTAACCCAGCCGCCGGGATCGCTGCTGCTGCCGCCGCCGCCGCCGCCGTTCCTGCTCGCGAGCCCCTTCTCTCCCCGAGCCCAGCCATGAACCCCGCCGAAGGGGCAGCGGAGGAAGGAGCGGTCCCCGACTCGGAGGTGGACGCCTTTTTCCGAACAGGTAACGCGCGGAGGGACGGGGCGGCCAGGCAGGGGGGCCGGGCAGGGCTGGCAGGCGAGGCTGCCAGCGCCCAAGCGAGACCCTGGAGGCGAGGTTCGCGGTGAGGTGTAGCCTTCTCCGGGGGATGGTCTGCGTAGCGGCGTGCGTGAGGTTCGGCTCCCTTTGTTAACGGGGGTTTCCTAATTGGGGAGCCTCCTTCTGGACTCACGCCGCCTCCTTCCGAGCCTCCGTCTCATCTCCCGCCCTGTATTGTTTTCCTGGGTCGTTACGGGCAGAAAACAACCAGAAGAAGAAAAAAAAAACCCCAAACCCCGCAACTTGGTGTTTTTCTCCCCTCCGTTCGGGCACTAGGCAAAGCGTCTCCCTGCCAAACGGTGCTTTTTGGGAGCTGAGCTTTGGGGTGTGTTTCTACCGCGGGAGGATGGGTGTGTGTGTGTGTGTGTGTGTGTGTTGGGGGGGGAGAGAACAAACTGTTGGCTGTCGACCAGTTGTCCAAGGCAAGGCAAGGCAAGGCGAAGCGGACGGATGCTGTGCTCGCTTCAATTTCTTACGTGTCGTGGCTGCATTTAGGGGGTGTGTGTGTTTGCGTCTCTGCCTTTTCCTGGGCTTCGTGGCTATCGGAACACTATTGATTTTATTTTATTTTATTTTATTTCAAAAAAGAGGATTTTGCTTTTCACTCGGGGCGGACGATCGTCGATCGCTTTTGCAGAACCCAGGGGAGAAGGCTTGGGTGCTTCCTGCCTCACAGATTCCGCGCCACCGTAGTGGTCTCCTTGTCTGAAACATGAGTGCAGCCTGCCTCACCTCCTGACTTTTAGGCATAGAAGCCGAGTGAGGGATGAAACGGTGCTGTAGTCGTGTGTATAGCGTTTTGCCTTTTCTGGCCAAGGCAAGTCCTACTACGCTGGCTTTCTGAACACATCTTCTAAGCTGATGGTGTATAGATCAGGTCTGGTGATGGAGCCAGAGGCTTAGATATTAGCCATCTTTGAGCCGCTGCTGCTGCTGCTACTACATATGGCATGATGTTACCTTACGGGGTTTGTAAGAGGAATAAGAAATTGTGGGCGGGGATGAAGATCTTCAGTAACTACAATTTACTAGTGTGTAACAGGAATGGCTTTAATGCTATGCTGTCAGATTTCAGTAATTAACATAATTGTACATAACACTTGTGCCTCTTTTTTCAGCGTACCTGACTGCTCTGTAGGTGATGATGATGTTGATGTTTTCAAATACAGGTAGTCTTCTGTTTACAACCATTCATTTAAAAACTGTTCAAAGTTACAGGGATACTGGAAAAAAAGAGAGACTTATGACGATCCCTGCACTTGCAAACGTTTGCAGCGTGCCAACGGTTATGTGACCAAAATTTGGGCGTTTAGCAACTGGCATGTATTTACAATGATTGCAAAGTCCCAAGGTCATGTGCAGCTTTCCTGTGGTGCCTCCAACAGGCAAGGTCAATGGGGGAAGCTGAATTTGCTTAACGACCACAGGATTTCCCTTAATGATCGCTGTGATTTGCTTAATGACCGCGGCAAAAAAGATCAATGAATCAGGCGACTCATTTAAGAACCACATCAGGTATGATAGAAATTCTGAACCCAATTGTGGTTGTAAGTTGAGGACTGCCTGTGGTTTCTGTGGTTTCAGTTATGACTTAAGTCAGGGGTCCCCAAACCTGGTTCACGGCATGCCAGAAACAGGTCCATGCAAACAAGCGAAGCCCCATCCACAGTATGCACAAAACCACGCCCCCTCCAGTCTGTGGAAAAACCTCTTTCTGTGAAACTGGTCTCTGGTGCCCAAAAGGTTGGGGAGGGGCACTGACTTAGGTTAGCTCACCAGAATTCCTAACTCACCAGAATTCCTAACTCACCAGAATTCCAGTAGAACTCTGTGGGATTTTGACAATTTATGAATGTTTGCTGGAAAGGCAAGCCTTTTCTTGCTGTGAACTTTACAGTCAGGCCTTTGAGAAGGTCAACATAAAGGGTATGGCAGGGGAACTGGTGTTTGCTCCTTGATTCTGACACCCACAATAGAAGTATGAATGCAAGTAGCTTCATTTCTCTAAAAGGGCACAAGAGAAGAAGGCTTGTGAACTGTGCCTGTAAGTGCAAGCGGGAGCTTGTTTTCCAGTGATGTTCTTACTCTAACAGAAGTGTAAGAAATGTTCTTCCTTCAGTGTCTTCCTGACCCAGTAACAGAAAATGGGGAAGTATTCCAGGCAGTTGTCATTAAGGAGTGCAAAGTATTCATTACTTGACCTTTCTACATGGGGGTTGTTTTTTTTGCTCCTATGGTGACAGTCTGCTTTGCTTTTCCAGCTGCTTTTCTTTTCATCTTAAATTCAACCCTGATCATCTGTCCCATCCAGGGTTCCTGCAGTCACACCAGACCTTCACATTATACCCACAGCTTTTCAAGCAATTTATTCATGTTGGTCCAGTGTTGGACTTCCCTCCTTACTCCCCTGCCATCCATAGAAAGTTACAGCCCACTTATGGGAATAAGCTTTGATCTCAGAGGATAAGTATAATAAGGTATGACTGTACTTGTATCTCATGAACTTCTTCTTGGAGCTGAATGATATTTTCATATTGAAACTTTAACCAGGAAACGAGCAAACCATGTACAGATTTTTCACAGATTTCTGGCGTACAAATGGGCTATGTATGGTATAAAACAGGGGTCCCCAATCTCTGGGCTGCAGCATGCCAGCAACCGGTCGGCACAAACAAGCAAAGCCCTATCCGCGGGATGCAGGCAGCACAAAAACCACGTACCCTCCAGTCTGCAGAAAAATTACGCTCCATGGAACCGGTCCCTGGTGCCCAAAAGGTTGGGGACCTCTGGTATAAAGGATACTTTTAAATTTGTGCAAATCTTACCAAACTCAGTATCTTTAATTCTTTTGCTATTTGTTTACTTTGAAAGGTAATTTCTGAATTCTTTTTTGAAGTAAAAATCCGATGAGACATTTCTGGCCAATTAGAAATTCTGTACTGAAATAATCTTGTTTATAATTCAGATTAGGAGACCTGTGGATTTAGTGTGTGTGTGTATATGTGTGGTTTTGGCACTCAGATTCATTCAAAGAAATATTTGACATGCTGTGGATAAGTAGTGACTATATTCCATGCAGGAATTTATTATTAAGTCATAAACACAAAAATATTTATTTGTAGTCATCAGATAAGGTAGAATTTTAAATTAAGGAGAACAGTAGACAGTGAGAAAGAAAGTTCCAGTCTTCTGACTGTAGGTTTAAAATTGACAAAGTCACATTACTTATTACTGGAAAAATCATTTTCCTAGAGAAATTCTCTTTCAGTTTGTACAACTTTTCTACATTGTATATGTAGATGTTCAACATACTTAGATTTGTTATTGTCAGTACTGAGAGATGCTAGGAAAGGGGATGAAGTAGAAGAGAACAGAGCAGTGAATAGCTTCTTCAAAGAACATAGTGAAGAAAACTTTATAAATAGCTAAAAACCCTAGTTAAATGAAAGAATAATAACTAACAGGAATGTTCACTGTTACCAGGAGGAATGCTGTTTAAATAAATAAATAATGATACATTGAAAGAAAGAACTGGGGACCTTCAGGTTACAATATCAGATTTTGATTCTGAGGTCTTCTCAGAACTTTTTTAGCCACAGACTAAGTGCACAACATTGCATTAATAAGTCATAAGATGGTTTCTTATTTGGCTTAGCTTGCTATACCCATTATGGCGTATTCTATACAAACCAGACCACAATGTCTTCTTTGATAAATAGTGGTTTTAAATCCCTAGTTCAGTGTCATGTGTGAAGTCAGCCATAACTTACCAATTACCCCGAAGAACCTAATGTATCTGACAGTGGCTTGAATCCTGGAAATTGGTGGATTTTCTCTCCTTGAATGGGGCCAAACCTAAAAAGTCCAAGAAATTAGAACCATCACTTTTGCTTCTCCTTGTCTCATCTCCAAGACCCAGTAATTTTTCCTAAAAGAAGAAAGACAAGTTTCAAAAGTCCATCAGAATACTTTTTTCCTGCAGGGAATTTGGGATTTGTAGCCTCGGTCTCAATTCATACAAAAATAAGAATCCCTCTTAGAGTGCCTTCCACAACATCCAGTAAGATTTGACAGCGAAGGCGTGTCCTATGTCCATCTTTAAAATAGTATTATCTGATGGGACCTAGTCAATATCCTTTTGCCTTTTCCCCCAGCCATTAGGTTAGAATGTTTGAACTGCAATGGAAATTTTATAAATATGCTTTGTGTGCTTTATTATCCCCCTTTTTTGTTTGCACTATCTTGTATGTCATGCACAATTGCTATTGCTATATGGCTGGCTTAGAAATCAGATTTTTAAATAAGTACATTTACTGGAGCATTTTCTTGCTCCAAGATAGGTTATTGGAGCCAGGAAAAAGGAGGTGGCCATAGCTTTCAGCATGAAGGGGAGCTTGATTTTGATTGCCCGACTTGCAGAAATTGTAGGAGGAGAGCTATGTGACAAAAACACAGAAGTCTTTATCAGATGCAAAGAATACCTAGAATGCAGAGACTGTACCCCATAGAGATAGAGTGTCTAGAGCAGTGGTTCTCAACCTTTTTAATGCCGCGACCCCCAACCGGTCGTAAGTCGAGGACTAAACCGGTCGTAAGTCGAGGACTACCCAACCGGTCATAAGTCGAGGACTTTCCCTGCCCGGGAGCGCTGCGCATGCGTGGTTCTGCCCCCTGTGCCGGCCGAGGCATAGCTGGCAAGCGGCAGAGACAGAGCAGGCCGACCACCAGCTGGCCCAGCTCAAGGGAGGTAAGGCACCCGCCGGAAAAGGGGGGAAAATGGTGGACAGCCTTGCTTGGCGACCCCCGTGAAATGGTCGATCGACCCCAAATGGGGTCGTGACCCATAGGTTGAGAACGCTGGTCTAGAGTGTCTAGATACTCTATGAAACTAAAAGTGTATGCTTTTAAAAATATTTGTTATTTGG